TGGGTGTGGGTGTGGGTGTGGGTGTGGGTGTGGGTGTGGGTGTGGGTATACTTGACTCTTCCTTCAATGCACACCCACACTCTATATTACTGCTTGCTCTGCAAAAATTAGAAAAAGATTTTAATTATTTTAATCAATATATTTATACAAAACTTACTGTATATGTATTCCACTTGTCGAAGATGGACGTACAAAGTTTCACGTAATCACATAATTGTTTTGCAAAATCGTCTTGAGCATTCGCTTCTAGTCGAACTTTTATCTGGATATTTAAACAGTTTATTTGTACTCGACATTGATCATTCTGTAAATAAAAATATGTATTTATATTTCTGAAAAAATAGTGCAATAGTGGATCATACCGCGTTCACAATAATGAGTGCTTGTTGTCTATTGTGTGCCATTTAATCCACAAAAAAATGGAATTTCGATATTCTGAGCACGGATTTTGATTAAAAATAAATTAAAAATATGCCATGGTTATATGTACAAAGTTAAACTGGAACGTATGCACATATAGAACAAATGACGACTGTTGTATCGTTTCTTTGTTTTTATCGAATCTTTTCTCTTTGAACTACAAATATTTATCTACAAGCGCCATCTTTCCTAATATCAATGGAAAAGGTAGTTAAATGAAAACAATAATCGCAATAACAAGAATTATTATTTCAATGTTATATTACACCTCTTATCCACGTTTAAATCTGTTCATTCTTGCTTTTATTATATACGTGAATTCGTCTATATCATACAATAAACATTAATATATGCTCGAAGACAGTTTTTGTTGACACATTTATAATGAAATATATAAAATTGGAAAAATAAATATTATGTTGTAAATTATAAGATACAATGTTGCTCTAATTATACTATTTAATATAGTTCTACACTTTTGCAATAACTAACAATTTCCCATTTGAATATGTATTTACTGTGTGAGTAGTACGTTTTAATCATCGATAACACTGAAAGTCAAAACACTTGCTTGCGACAACAAATTTTCATACTGGCTTAGAAAAGAGTATCAGAGTTATGATTATATTTCACTCATAGTCGCACTCTCAAGATTCTGAGAAATGAATTGTACTAATTGATAGACAATATATTTGACTAGATGCTTTTTGAAGAAAACTTCATCAAAAAATATAATGAAAAAGAAGTCAATAAATATCATACACATGAGTTCATGATTTTTTTCATTGTTCATCTCTATCAGTCACATTAGCGAAACTTATACAGACGGTAAACATAATGAATTTGTCCATACATGAAAACGGTGAATTGTAATTCAATTTTATAATACTCAAAATGTGATGATGAGCATTGCCAAAGCGGACGGCTGAGAACACATCTATACAATGAACTTTATCGATATATATATATATATATATATATTTATTGTAATTGCAATTGTCGTCAATTTCAACGAATATGAATCGTATTAATATTTACATTCTTGATTTACCTGATGAAATATTGCTGACTATTTTTAATAAAGTTAACAATACTGATTTATTATATTCACTGATGGGTATCAATGAAAAACTTGATAGGATTACATGTGATAATATGTTTACTAAAGATATTGATCTGACAACAGTATCATCAAATGGAACGAACGATTCAAAACTTGATATTGTAGTTGATCGATTTTGCACATACATATTTCCTCGAATTCATAATAATGTGGAATCGCTAGGTATTCAAGCATCAATGTTTCATCGCATTCTTCATGCTGACTATTATCCTAACTTACACAAGCTTAGTCTTCTTAATGTCGAAATCGATATGGCTTCTGATATTTTTAATGGTATGTTAATTTTTTTCTCGGTTCTCAAGTAGTAATATTAGAACAACGTTTTTTCATTTTTCTATTAGAAAATTCGCTATTTATGCGATCTTACAAACATAAAATTTCACATTTGGTGATGACGATTAGTGATGAGTCTCTTCATGGATTAACAGAGATCATAATAGCACAAATTTATATTGGCATTTTTACGTGGCTATCAAATCTACAGTATTTGGATTTAGATTGTATTGATGGTAGTCTATTCTCGGGACGACTGCTGGGTGATTTATGTTCTACAATATGTTACTGTTCCAATATCAATCATTTACGTATTAGAATACATAATTTTGATGACTGTCTCTGCTTACTCGACGGTCGTCTCAGTCAATTACACACATTAATTGTCAAGCTTGATGATGTTCACTATTCACAAATAGTTATAAAGAATGAGGTAAAGAACGAAATACGATAGAAGAATTCTCTCATTTTAATACATCCTAGAAAGGATCTATTAACAATATCTTAGAGCAGTCCTCTAAAGGATGTGTGCATTTACACAATTATACTTACAAAAGTCAGAGTATCGAAATACTAACTGGTATATAGTTTTATTAGATTAATAACTAACAGTATTCTTATAAACTTGATAAGTTATGAGTTTTTTTACACTTTTCATCTGTAACCGTAAGTTTTTTATTATATGAACATAGACTAGTGTTTGAAAGAAAAAAATGTTTGGAAGAAACTATAGAATGAAAAATGTTACAGTATTTTCTTTTTTAACGTTTACTATAAGTCTTTAATCATTCATTCATAAATTTATCTTTCACCTGTGAATTACTATTAATCTTGTTGAGAAAGAATGAACAAGAACTTTTATCACTTTTCTTTTTCATTTTTCATATTTCAGTCAATTTTATATGTCTGACGGTGTTTGAGATATTTCTCAATTGTGATTAGCTTCGCGTTGAATTCTTAGAATTATGAAAGAAAACTATTTCAAGAAATTACGTTATACAATAGAGATATCTATTATTGAACAAATTATTGACGTAGGATTGATAAATATTTTTATGTTATTTTTATAGGATACTCTACTTAAACTCAAATGTTTTTCATTCTATGTAAATCGCCCAACTTTGTACTTTGACTTTACCGTTGCACCACTTCTTCGTCGGATGTCAAATTTGGAAAAACTGACGTTATCTTTATCTGTTCGTCGTCGAAATTCATTTATTGATGGTATTTATCTAACTGATGAAATTTGCAGTAGCATGCCGCATCTGCATACATTTATATTCGACATCGTCAGCTATGATACAATATTTTATGTACATCCTAAACCGTCTTCTGATGATGTTCGACAAACATTCATCGAAAATGGATATCATGTTGATTGCTATATTGACTATTGTACAGATATAATGACAGATGGACTTGGTCGATGTCACATTTATTCACTTCCATTCACGATGGAACATATCCAATATATTTCATCTAGATTTCCAGGTGGTATATTTGGGAATGTTCGCGTTTTACGTGTGGTCGATACTAAACGCTCTTTTGGAAAGACATTCTTTGCTAAAATCTCGCGTTCTTTTCCATTACTCACTCGCTTGACCGTATCAAATACAATAGAACAAGTAGAAAAACCATCATGGCGGTTGAAGAAATTTAATGAAACATCATCTATTATTACATATCCTCATCTTGCAGAACTTGTTTTATCTGACATACATATAGACTATGTGGAACAATTTCTTTTTAGCTTCAATACATGCCTTCCTTGTCTTAACTCGCTTGACATTCGATATGAACATTTAACAACTGTCACAGAAAATTTCACAAGAGATGCAACACGTATGAATTGTGCAAAAGTGAAACGTATTGTTTTCAATAGAGTCATTCATTTAGGACAGTCAAGAAATTTTTATCTTTATTTTCCTTCTTTGAAAAAATATTGTCCTATGTAGTTTTTGAATTTATTTGTTAAATCAATGAAATAAAATATTTTGTTGAGCTCACATTAACTATCAAATAACTGACTTGAACTTGTGAATAATGAAGATAAATCTATTACATTTTTCATTTGACAAAATTTTTTTTTATATTAACTTAAATGAATTAAATACAAATATTCTATAACATCCTTTTATTGTCATCTCTATGATAGAACAATTTTGATATTGACAATAGCTATAATATGATAGGGTGAGTGTAGATATTATAATTATCTTTCACCGATAACCATAACCACACTTTATAAAGGACTGCCGAAAAATAATATTGTAAATATATTTTACTAAGGATATTAGTAAATTTCCATTTGTTTTAAATTATTCATATGTCAATTTAAATTATGAATGTATAGAAATTTAGTTTAAAAATTTTAATTTTTAACACTATTTTTTCATTGAATTGTGGAACTTTACAACAACATTGAAAAACAGTAAGAATTATTTCGTTTGTGAATGATTTTCATATCAAAGCAAATTTTTTAAAAATAAAACTACTTTGTCTCTAGTTACTACCAAAAAAAATTGGGTTAAAGATTGAATGCTAAAGATATAAAAAAAATAGTATTACACAAAGGGGTAAATTTTGTGTTTGCACCGCCCCGTATAAATATTAAACATACTAAAATAGTTGTTATTTATTTATTTTTTATTACATATCATTGTCATTGTTTTGTTTTTATTCAAAAAAGAAAATTTTTTTTTATAACCATCCGTTTTCTTTCTTTTTTTCTTTGGGCATGAAAAAAAAAATTTCTTTCTTCATTTTTTACTCTTACAAGATAAAACATACATCTTTATCACACATATATGATTTTAAAAATAGTTCTATTTCTTTTTGCTCGAAGTATACATAAAAGATTTCGAGAACAAAGGAAGTAAGAAAGTAACATGTCGGTTGCAATGATTGGCATTGTGCAGTACAATTCGAAACGGTATTTTTCTGTTTATTTATCATTCTTATAAGTAAAAAACTGCGCATGTCTATAATATTTGTTGACTCAGAATGACGACGATTGTGGAGAACGAGAAAAACATCTATACAATGATTACATGTGCTTCGTTACTTTTTTGGTGAGCGACTTTTTTTTTGCGTTTTCTTCTTTTATTTTGACTGCCTCTGTCATTTGATTATTCACACTCATGATGTGGTACTCATACTTATCTCGCTACACCTACATATTTCAGATATATTACATGAATAATGCTTACATTTAAGCATCGAACTTAAAATATTTTCAAGATGCCACCACCACCTCCACCTCCGCCACCACCACCACCACCACCACCAGCTCCACCATTGATGAATAATGCAGGAGCTGCACGTCCATCAACAGGTGGTGCCGATCGAAATGGCTTACTTGGTGAAATTGGTACTTTTAAAAAAGGTGGTCTAAAAAAGGCGGTAACTAATGATCGAAGTGCTCCAATTGTTGGTAATTCTAGCAATAATAATCGTGCAGCTGCTTCTTCTCCTACTAGAGATGCAACTTCAAATCGATCAAATACAAATGATAGACCAAATACTGCTCCTACGGCCGGTTTATTCAATATAACAGCTGATCAACTTAGTATAAGAAATTTAAAACCTACCGGTGCCAATAGTGGATCAACAGTAAGAGCTCCAAAAACAGAAAAAGTATCGATTCCAGAAATTCCTTTTGGTACTCCTCATGTCATTTCACCACTACCAAGACAGCAACCAACTGTCAAATCGATTCCACCAATTCCTTTTGCTACTCCTCCTGTTCTTTCACCACTACCAGGACAGCAACCAACTGTCAAATCGAATCAATCATCAACACCACCACCACAACAACAACCATCGCAAGTTCAACATTCAATTATGAAGCCATCAACACCTCCTCCTCCTCCGCCGCCACCTCCATCATCACCACCAGTTCAACACCCCGTCACTAAACCATCTACACCTCCTCCTCCTCCACCTCCTCCACCGCCTCATGTCCCACACTCTGTTGTTAGACCATCTCAACCATCAACATCTTCGTCTGATGCATTTCGACCTGGAAGTAAGTATATCATTTTCAAAAACTTTATCAAATCTAATTATATTAACATACTATACTATTTAGATAGTGGAGGAGCACCAACACGAAATTTTGTTCATCACACTCCGCCGACTCAACCATCGCATGCACCAAAGATTCCTCCTCGAGAGCCTCCACCACCACCACCATCCTCGTCACCATTACCAACAGGTTATTATAAGATTTTTGATGATATCGGATAATAATTTATCATTTATTTTATATCTCGTTCTAGGCACTCTAAATAGAACCGTTCGTGCTGCACCACCGCCACCTCCTCCTTCGCATCCACCTCCAAACTCAAATAGAAATGGTCAAGCGCCATCCATAACGCTTAATCCAGATAATGTCGCAAAATTTAACAAAATAACAAGTGTAAATGGCCCTTCTTTTGCTGCACCATCTCCGCCACCTCCTCCACCTCCTCCTCCACCTAGAGGTTCAACATCTAATAATACACCTGTCGAACATCGTAGTGATCAATGGAACACAGCAGCAATGGAATATGATTATAGTTTTGAAAATCGTTTTCGATTTACTCCTATTCAAAATCTTCCACCACCTGAACAATGGAAACCACCACCACCACAAGCAAAACCATTGAAAAATGTAAATTCTCATTAAAAATACAGAGATATATAAGTCATATGACATAATAAAAAAGAGAAAAATACACTAATGATTTTTTGCAAAACACTATTAACTATCTATTATTCTATTTTTTTTTCTATTGTCTATTTCTTTGAATCTTACTCTTCTCTATTTTTATTCTTATATGTACAACAAAAAAAATACATATAGAATAAACTATAATTAAGTTCTTTAAAAAAATTATTCAATATCCAACTTCAATATTAATAAAAAAAATTGTGTGTTAAATATTCTTTGATCAATTCTTGTATTATTTTTATAAATATTCTTTTTTATACATCAAAAACAAAATATACAAAAAATATAATATTATTATTCTTCTTCTTTCGTCCTTGAATCTAATTGTATGTGAAGACGAGTTTGTTCATCTTGTGGTACATAGATACGTTCAATAGGAACACGAAGTTGATCGAGTTGATCGTTTGGTAAAACAGCATTATTATATTGAGTTTGAACGAATGAAGTTATATCCACGATACGTATTATATCACGACCATCAAGAAAACTATCAATTTTCTTCAGACCTAATTGAATGGCTCGACGACCAGAAACTGATGTACCATGTGGAGTATGATCAGGATCCCATTGTAGACGAATTAATCTTGGACGACTTTTATTTTCAGAAGGTATTTCAACATTTTCAGAAGGAACTTTCTCAGAACTATGTACAGCTTCGGCTAAATAACTGTCAAATGCTGAACGTCGTAGCCATATTGCTAAAATACATTGTTGATTTGATGATGTAGACCATTGTGATCGATACATCATCCAGAGAAAATTTGTTTTAATCCCTATAATAATTTATTTATCTTTTAATAAAAAACTAATTGAAATCTATATATCTTACATGTCATACGATCTTGACTATAACCAGGACATCCTATGAAACAATTATTTTCACAAGCAAATTTTGCAATTTCTGCATTATATGCTTGATAAACTATAATTGATTCATCATCATATGATGCTAATATCCATTTACCAGGTGGTTGTTCTTTATTACATGGCCAACGAAGTATAGCATCATTATATAATTCCGTAGAATTTTCATATATACTTAACCAACTCATTGATTTTAATGATTTCCCTATATCCTCAAAAACATACAAACATGAAACACTTTTATAGTGTTTCAATATATTACTTTCTAGTGGCGTAATAACATTTGAGTAATATACATATAAAGTTTCTTCATAACATAAGTATTTGATGAAATATATACGTGAAACGCACTTTTTTTTATTCTCGAAAAGAAGTAGATTGGGTTGAATGTCATTTACTCCAATTAAAATACAAAAGTATACATAGGATAAAAAGAATAAAAGTCGTAGTATGCTGTCATCTATATTGTATTATTGAGTTTAGTGGTAAAAGTTCAAAGATTATTTATAGAATCTTTAGAAATATGAATGATTAAAAATCCATACATTGAGAATGTTCATAATACTAATGTACTGTCTTTTAAGACTTTCATTCCTACAATATTAAATATATAATATGTTTGTTCTGATATAAAATTCATTGTTAAAAAACTTCATTATTTTCTTCTTTTTTTTTGGTGCACTAATCTATTCTAAAGCAAATTTGTTTTGATGAAGACAATCCTTTTGCATTAAGTATAATGGTTCGTAAGATATTCTTTAAAAAAAATGACAATGAGAAGACAGTGTCGAGGATAGCGACTTAAAATGAGCAAATATTGATTTAGTCAGCCATACATTGATGAGACGAGTTGATGATGGCCACCTCACTTATTCTCCTTCTTCTTCTTTTTCATCATCATCATCATCATCATCGTAGTCTTTTCTTTGCACATACATATTACACATCGGCATAGCAGACAAATATACCAAGAGCATCATTATTACTATCATTATTGGCAGTAATAGAGCAAGCAGTTCAAGTGAGTTTTTTTATGTATGCATATGTATGATTGATTTTCGTTCGTCTATATCTAATATTGACAATCATCCTACGATTCTTTCATTTTTCTTTTGATTAGTTTGCCCAATAGACATCAGTTCCTCAAAAAATTTATCAAGCATGTTCGAGTATTTGCTGTCTTCATTCAAATTTCTAAGAATTGCTTACAATATGTTCAATAAAAGGGGGCCTTATGTTTATCTTCAATTCAATGATTGTATCTCTTGGCAGTCTAGTAAAAAGGAAGCCATCAAATCATCGAACTATCGATAGCAATTGTTAAACAATATTTGAGTAGACTTTAAAATACGTTCAATAGTTTTCTATCCATTTTCTAATAGAAAAAAAACTAATTCTCACAATTCTCATTGAATGTAATTAATCGAAAAAAAAAGAAAGTCTAATCTTTATTCACTTTTCATTTTCCCATTACGAAAAAGGAAAATCAATGTTTACTTATTTTTGCATTTTTTCCGTTTTATTCTTTCATATTCAATATGTTGACTATTTTCACATGTATATTCTAATGAAAAAGAGTGTAAGCTCGAAAAGTAAATATATAAATTCGAACAGACAGGTCATGATAGCCATTGAATGACTAGTGCCTAACATACATATATCGACCATTTCTTTATTTGCCACTTGTAACATATAAAATTTTTATTATTTTATAAGCTGTACAATAGTGCCAGTAAAACTGTATACATACACTACCATCTGCATGTTTACTTAACCCGAAATGAAAAAGAACAAAAATTAAAACTCTTACTATGTCGATAAAACAAAACATTAGATTCTGTGTCTTTCTTTCATTCATTCATTCTTCTTCTCCTCTCTTTTTCTCATATTCTTAAGAATAAAATAAAAGAAGAAAAAAAACGAGACAACGTTATTCTTGTGTACATAGTTTTTAAAAAACATACTGCGGTGTGCACACACACGAAAGGGGAATATATGTGCATGTGAAAGAGAAAAAATGAGAATGAGAGAGAAAGCGTTTGTTCAATATTTATTTACTGCAACTTCAATTAGTAAATATAGAAAGAGAAGCAAGCATACAAGCATAAGTGAGAATAAGAACAGAAGTAGAAGACGACAATTTTTATTGTTCGACAAGCAGACTTTATACATATATATATATATATTTTATTATTAATCGTACGATCAATATGCAACAAAAAGAAAAGTTTTTGGTGAGTGTTAAAATAAAAAAAACTACTAGTGGTTATTTGTTTCTTTGAAAATTATTTCTTCTTTTAATCATGTGTCAATTTTATCGTTTTCATAACGTTCATTGACAGAGTTCTGATGATCAAACGAAAATATTTTTCTATCTATCCTATATGTGAAATGCTGTTAACAGAAGAACATAGGAGAAGACAATTGCACCTACTCTCGATAAAGCTCATATATACACATATACTCAGTTAATTTTCTGTCTGATTAATATATCCCTTTTGATGTCAATTTTTCTTTTTATTTCTCAAAAGAATAAAATCATTTCTATCAACAATAACAAAAATATTCTAAGTCACATACACATACCTTTTGTATCATCAGAAAAATTCATTTGAAATAAAAAAAAAAGATGATTTAAAATCGTAAAGAAAACATTCGAATGATGATGATGCTGATGTGTCGCTCTCATCATCTAATCAGTCAAAAGCTTCAAAGAAAAAAAAGCTTGACTACACGAATGAAAAGTAAATATAGATTTGGATTGGTATTCAAATGATGGGATAGAACAACATACTAAAAGTCGGCATTATTCGTTTGCTGGATTCTTTTTTTCTTTTTCAACTATAATCAATACCGTTATTTTTTTTTCTTCGTCTTCTTCTTGGAGGATTAACTATTGATACTTTCTATCCCTAATTGTTCATTCGACTAATGACTAGACATTCGTTTGGATTTTTATTTTCAACCAATTGACCTTGTTCTTTACGTTTGGTGGTCATCCGGAAATCGATCAATTGGCAAAAGGATGATAAAAAAAAA